CATGTTTTCCTTTTTATTTCTTGAAACTGAAAATTATAAGAAAAATTTTAATGGTAAAAACATTTATCTTTGTCAAGTAGTTTATTTTTAGAATTTTTTTAGTTAATTAATTTTAAGCTTAATAACTTTTTTCAATATATTAATTTGACAAGAGTATATTTTTTTAATTATTATTAATTATCCATGTAATTTTCACAGGTTTTTCCATACATTTAACTAGCATCAATTTTTTTTTTTGTCAGAGATTTCTGTTACACTGTATATTTACATAAATCATAAATCAAGCAACAATTTAATTTCCATTTAAGACTTAATATAATATATGTGTCATTATTGATGCTTTACTGGTTTAATAAAATAATAATCATGTTAAATTATATATTATTTAAGGGTTGATAATTTGGAAGAATCATCTGTGATAAAAGAAGCTGCAACTAGAAAAAAAAGTAGAACTTCCGGTCCTTCATTAAATCTTTTGGCTGTGTATGATAATCGCCAAGCAGAATGTCAATTAGAAAGTAATAAACACAAAACTGTAACATTTAGGTTTAACATAGATGATGTTGTGCCTTATGATGTAGCAAACAAATTGGTAAATTGATCGTTTAAAAATCTAAATATAAAAACAAATAAAGTAATATTTGTAACAATTTTTATTTTAAGGTGACTGAAGATTTGTTAGAAGTATCCCATGTAGATTTAGTGGCTGAAATGATGAAAGACTTGGTGAATAAACTGAAATTGGACATGGAACCTGTGTCTCATAGTATTGACCAACCTTTATTAAAACAAGAGGTATATTTAAATATTTTTCATAACAAAATTTAATATAAGCATTGATTTTATAATGATATTAGCTATTGGGGGTGATAAACAGACAATGTGGGGCAAGCATATTCACAAATAAAAAAATATACCCAAATTACTAAAACATTTTCTTATTTTCTTTTGTGTTTGCAAATTAAATATTTTAATAGATAATTTTACTGTTTTCATATAAACTATGAAATTATACAATGCAGTTAGGTACTAATTGTTGAACAATAAACATAATATTCAAGAATTTTTGAATTGTAATATTTATCTAATTTAATGTATTGGTGTCATTAAAATAAACTTATTCATTACACTTGTTACATTAGTGCTGCTTACAAAGTTCTTCTTGTTGTTTATATATTTCAAAACTAATGTATTCTATTTTTTTTTTATACAACTAATGAAATCTTTAGACTGAAGGAATTCCAATTCCTGGAGACTCAGAAAGTGCAATAAATACGAATCAGCTCAATGTCACTGTTACCGAAACCGTTAATGAAGTTGAGGAAAAAACAGAGCCCGAGAAAAAAAAACCAGTATGTTCTTAAAAACCATTCATTTATTCTTTTGAATTAAACCAATTTTCTTTATTTTAGTGAATTAACTATAATACCTATGTTTATTAGTCCTAATCTCAATTTTTGTTCACTTAGGCAAGGAAAATATCAAGGTTTTTAGTGAGCCCGGTCATTACAGAACAAACATTAGAAGAAGTAAGTCTTAAATCCAATAGGTTTATTTGTATTTTTTTGTATTTTTTATTTTATAGTATAATGCTGATAAAAACATCCCAAAACAAAATGAATTACTTAGTCCAGAATCACTTCAAAAGAGTATTCTGACTGAAATGATAACTTTAGCGAGTACTAATAATCAAAATGTACCAGCTTGTCTTTCAACTACAAATGAAGATAATATATCAAATCCCGAAACGAATACTGGACTAATGACTGACTCTAAACTACATTCCCAACTTCCATCTGATTCGTATGTTTTACATTTTTTTTAAATCAACAATAAACAAAATTATTGATTAATTTATTTCAATTATATCTAGATCATGTCAAAAAGGAGGTTCTCTTACTATATCCGAACTCCAGCAAAAATTAATTCAACTTACAGCTCAGCCATCAGAATTATCATCTAGTAGTACTCCACCTATCGGTTCCCATCCAAGTACACCTCATGGGCATACTGGATATGAGACATACATGAATAACCTTCAAAAACGTTTGGCTTCCATTTCAATGCCTGCTGGCAACATACTTGTATGTATTGACCAAATTCTTTATTAAATAATAAATATGTATTTACGGTTCAGTATTCATAAATATTTATATATATTAAAGGGACCGCTTTCACCTCAAAGTACATTACATGCAATTAGTTCTGCAACGTCTAAATTAAAAATACCTATTGCTATTGAAGTTGTTAAACATATACAACCAGTAGCCATTGGAATTGATGAAGTACACATTGGCGATGATGTTGGGCCTATTTTAGTGCATGCAGTCCAAGCTCAGTCTATTTTGACGGGTAATGAAACACTCCAACGTGTGATAGTTCCAGATGAAAACAAAGATCAACAAACTATGGTCGTACAACCATTACCTGGTCATGCCATTATGGTTCAATCAAGATTTATACAAAACCAAGATCCATCTATTCAAGTACTTTACCATTAGTTTCATATTTTAACCGCAATGCAAACTAAACTGTTTTATTTACATTTATCAGGAATTTGAAAATAATTCAAATAGTCATAAAGAAGAATCTAAAGAGAGAAAAATTAGTCGTGCTCAGTCAGTTGATTTACATAGTTTAGAAAAGGTAATGTTTTAAAGTAATAGTTAAAGGATAAATAAAATAATAGGAATAAATTTAGTCAATTTAATCAAAGTATTTATAAGTAAATCATATTATTTCAAAAAAGATGTAACTAGGTAAGAGTACATGGTCCATATTGATATTTTAATATTATTGTAAACTAAAGTTATTCTGTGACATTTGGTTGTATTATGATAGAAAAAAATAGTATAACATAATGCCATAATAAATTCTAAAGTTTTATGACAGTATTTTAATTTTACTGCAGTCTGGATAAGAAGGAACCTTAGTAAGTTTTTGCTAAAGTAATTCTGAGTCCTAAAAAATGAAAAAGTGATGATATAATTATGGTCGTTTCTGTCCGGATGGTGCGTTGTAGCAGATTTCTGAGGTTCCTTCTCATTTTGAATAGAGTATTGAGTAATCTATTACAGCAATTCCATTATCAAAATATTTTAAAATAAATATTGATTATTTGTTTTAGAAGTTGTCTAGTATCCATAACAATACATACAAAAAATATTCCTCAAATGCAGTCAATCTCCATTCATTACCCTTATCAACCGACCAACCTGTGGCACAATCTGTGGAAACAGATGTCCCTTGTGATAATTACCAATCAGTTTCACACTCTGTACGTTAAAAATATTTAACCAGAACATTCCAACATTATACTTACATTTGAATGTTATATATAGTTTTACCGTAATCTGTATATTTATTATTTTGAATACATTTTTTTTTAGAACGATGAAACTAAGGATCAGAAAGATTTGAACATAGATTATAAACCTGTTAATACAAATGAAATCTCACAAGCTACTAAATTAAATGTATCTGCTTTTGATTTTCAAAATTTATTACAAAGGTTGGTTTTGCTTATACCAGTTTTTAACAAAATGAAATGTATTTATTATTTATTTTTCAAATTTTTATGTATATTTGGATTTCATTTTAGGCAATATTTTGAATTAGAGAATTTACGTAAACGTCATCTAGATGAACTAAAAAGTTGCATGCAAATGTTAAGATCAGAAAATATACAACCAACTATACTATATGAAGCCTTATCTCCACTTTCTAGTACTAGTAAGTATACATTTTAAGCATTTTCGAACATTAATATTAATATTGTTTTTAATTTAAGGTAAAAAAATACCTAGTGAAACTAGTGGAAATTCCAGATCAGTCTCACCAACGCCAGATAATGGTGTGATGAAGTTTACGCCAACTGGTTTATACTTCTTACCGGAGTCTGTTAAGCTTTTATCACCTACCTTAGCCGAATCCCAACACCACGGCTCTAATTATTAGTCAACAGCAAAAGAAAAAATAATAATCTCTTAAGCGTACTTTTAACATTTCGTTATTCCTTATTTTTTTCACTATACACAACGTTCATCTAAAACGCTTATAATTAAATTGTTATTTTATTTTGTATAAGTTCCTTAGAAAATTGTATTCATCAAATATATTATTTAATTATTCAATTTATAAATACATAAACATACTAATATGTTGTATTTGCACATTTATTCAAATGATTGCATAATATGATGTATTTGGGTGTTACTTACACTCAGACCAATACTAACATCTTTAATCTAATAATATTATTTATTAACAGTCTATAATTTTATGTTTAAAACATAATTTAATAGAAATTGTTGCGATATTTAATCAATTTTTTTTTTATGATTATTAGTTTTTCAATAATTGTTATAATTTTGTAGGTTACAACTTACAGTTTGTAATTTGCATAGTCTAGTCTAATTAATGTGATTTTGTAAGTCATAATTCTTAAGGTTTTTAATACAACCTGAAATATTAGAAAAATACTAGTGTATACATTTTTTAATACATTTATATAATTATAATTTATGAAAATTCATAATAATCAATGATACCTTTTGAGATACTTCAAATATGCCATGTTAAAAAGAAGAAATATCTTACCTACCTATCTTATTTTGCCAATATTAAAATAACCAGAATTCAGAATAATTAATTTATTTTTGTTTTTTTAGATTTGTCAAATTAAAAAAAAACTGCAGTCCTGATCATTTATTTTATTCAAAAAAATGACAAGTACAATTTGGCTTTTTAAGGTTGTTTTGTTATTTTAAGAAATTTTCCAAACAAGTAACAACCTAACCCTTTTTTATAACTAACTGATTCAACATCTCTGTGTACCGTACAATGTCTCATGTTTTTTTTTTTTTTGAAATGTTAGTGTAATAAGAAGGTACATTTATGTTTTAGCACACCCTTTTTTCAATTTTTGTTTGATGTAATGTACCTATATAGTTGAGCATGCTGAAAATGATAAAGTCAGAATTTGAAGGTCGGATTTAACTATGAAGTAACTATTTGAAGTCTGAAACCCACACTCAAAGTGGTTTTACATAACAAGCTGAGGGATGTTTTCAATTTAAAATTGTTGTCTGGTCGTGCGAGTGACCACGCTAGGAGTATATAAAAATACTGTACATTTCAATTGGCTATAATTTTAAGACTAAGTATGACTTCCAAATGCTGGCTTCCCCATTGTTTTTAGCGTGCTTAACTGCATACCGACATTAAAACAATAAAGTTTGTTCTGTAAAACAGGAAAGTTCTGAAGATAAAATTAATATCATTTGTCTATTGATAATTTGATTAAAATTTTTCCATATTTTCAATAAGGAAACAGAACATTAATTGAAAGATCTTTATTTGTTCTATTGTTCTAAGACTGTGGTTCTAACCCTGGCTGTAAAATACATATTATAGAGGGATGACAGACCATTAGTAGTTTCTGTTTACGGTAGTAAATTATTCATAATATTAACATTTTGTATATAAAAACTAATGAAACTTAGGTATCAGTTGATCAGTTATTACCTACTTATTCAATAATTACTAATTAATAATATTAGGTAATTGTTATTATTAGTTTTAAAGTGTTTAGACATGGTTTGAATCAGATTATTTAATGAAAAATATTCACTTTTCATTTAATCTGTTAGAATTGTTGACATTATGACTGAATGACACTTATGATATTATTTTATATTTTCTACCTGTCTAATGGCAAATAAAAAATATTTTCAGATATTATAAATAATAATAATAGTTCGATTCTTTCTCATTAGCCATCATTCGAAAGCCAATAATAAAGTTCGGTCTGAGTGTTTTATTTAAAGTATTGTAAATAGTCTATTACAACATATTATGTGTCATCGCGATTTGAGACTTCAGACATTTGAATATTGGGTATTTGGGTTACAACTTAACAACTTACAAAATCTTGGTGAACAGTGTTTCTCGAATCATGAGTACAATAAAATTATTATTATTCAAAATGACCTCGTCCCTATCTTATCAGTCTGATATTTTGTTATCTAACGTTCGGTTGATAAGAGATAAGGTTTGATTTGTATCAATTTACTATTTAGTCCGTGATTTAGTTGTATATTCGGATATTCCAGACTATAATATAGTGTTAATCTGATCTGAGGTCTAAATTTTACGTAGGATTTGGGGTAATGGACCATCAAAGTATTAATTGTGGAGTAGTTTTTGAAAAATAAAATGTTAGATTATAGGTCCATGGTTAATCTTACAATCTAATGTTCCTTAGATTTTAACTGAAAAAATGTTCTTATTTCTTTTACTTTATAACAATTAACAATACATACTGTTAATATAAATTAAATTATGACAGCTATAAAAACGGTAAAGTATAACTTTTATTATTTTCATGACGATGTGTCAGTGTACACTAAGGCTAAATCCATAATAATGAGTGAGTGAGTATGTTTCAGGAAAGAAGTTATATAATACTTGTGCAGAGTAAATGCACAGTATAATATTATAATATATCATTGAAGGCTAGTATAATTGGTTTACTGTCATTTAATTTAATTTCTTTTTACCATGAATTTAGGCTTGTTAAAATTCTACTATTTGCTACAGTTTTGCGAACCATACTTACATATTTTTGTATTAATATTTTTGATAAGATAATTGTTTCCTTGCAATTACCTGATCATTTGTACTAGTACACATTTATGACAAATAAGTATACTTAACAAAAGTAGTTCAATTTGTATTGTCAATTATTTTGTACTTTGTAGCAATTGTATTAATTGAGAATTTACTCTAAAAAAAAAAAGTCATGGTATGTATTAAATTTACTCAAATGATAAATATATGAGTTGTGTTGTGTTATAGTCCCTTGAAATTTATACTACATATGATAAACTTAAAAATGTGTCATACTTTCAAGGTTGCTTTAATATTATTTATTTGTAATCCATTATTATTATCCATTGTAGTATTCTTTTATAGATTTTTTTTCTTTAGTAAATTGCTGCTTGGCTATGTTTATGTGCTAATATCTTGATGCTTCTAATTATTGTTTTAAATTAATTTTATTGTTATACCTTTCTAATAATTATTGTTTTTTAATTAAGATGACGACAATTTTAATTATGATATGGACCACCAGTTTATTGAAGAAGCTGAAGTAACAGAAGACTTCAAAGAAGCCGATGGAGCTGTAAAATCAATAACACTTGAAAGCCATGAAGAAAATGAGATGGAAATTAATGGTGATAAAAGAGTGTGGGTAAAAGCTTCAGATGAATTGCTTTCAGATCAAATTAAAGAAGAAATACAGGATTGTGAGTACCAAACCATTGTTGATGTTAAAGATGAAATAGAAGAAGTTGAAGAAGAAGAGATTAAAACACCAACAATATATGAGGCAATTCCACCACCACCCCCAGCAATTGACATTCAAGCGAAAAAAGTTGCCGTATCAAAAGTTAATTTCAAACCAGCGAAAAAGCCTAGGGGGCGTATGGGTCGTAGACCTAGACCTATATTGCCAATGACCCGGCCCATAGCTTCTGTGAGTACTCCGCACTTGGAACAGGCCTCAACTCAACACCAGTTAATTATGCCTTCAACTCAAATGCCTGGGATTGCTTATCAAATTTTTCTGGGTGATCATGGAAAAAACTCAAACAATCCAGTTCAATATACAATGTTACAGCCACGACCAGTGTTTTTACAACAATCTCCGTCATCCGTCAGCAATACTTCACCAGTGGTGATAAGCCAATCTTATCCAATGACTCGATCCCAAGTTCCATGTCCTAAAGTCCCCAAAATTGCTCCTAAAATTGTCAGTCAAACTTACTGTTCATTTTGTTACAAACTTTTTAAAAATATGAATGAACATGTTAAAGAGTGTTGGGCTAATCCAGCTAGTAAAAGCTATAAGTTTAGAAAAATTGCACCGTCTACTTCGTGTTAAACAATTTCATTAGAATGATATGTTTTATTAATAATCATTTAAATGTTTTTTTTATTAAACTACTATTGAAAATTGTTGTATCTATATAGACATTATAACAAATTTAAAATGTGTATGAATATTTTTACATGACGTGTTTAAAATTATATTATTGAATTATCATTAACAATTGAATTTCAATTAGTATGTGATGATTTTACTTTCATGTATTAGAAATAAGTAGAAACTTCTTGTGATTTATTGAATAACATTAACTAATAGTATTATAAAATGGAATCTGACTTAACAAAAACTATCTGTTCAAAATCAATAATAATTGTGTGTTTTGTATTACTTATTTGTAAATATTACTAATCATCAGAGTAAGTGGCTAGTGCTATACATTACTGATTACTTATTAGTTATGAAAAACAAATATATCTGTGTGTCTGGTATTAAAATAACATTAAATATTACCGTAAGTTATTTTTGTCCGTTGTTATTATGCTCATCCCCATGAATGTCAATTACTTTCCCATTGTATGACATAAGTAAGCATTAAGAGCATTAGGTGTTTCTTTTTACTTGATTTTTTTTTCAAATGTCTTCTTCTACAGTTTACACTTTACACTGTAATTATACCTTGTATATTCATATAGATGTATCGATTTAGAACATACACATATTATAAATATTATAGTTATAATGCCTAGGAAAGCAAAATAATAATCTTTAATCACATGAACAGTACAATCATATGTGTAAGGTGATCAAATAAATTAGGGGGAGGGGGTCTGGGGTCCCACTAAAAGTTTTCAATGTGGTGTTCTCATCACCTTTTTAACTGATTTATGTTAATGATTTTCATCAAAAAAAATTGTGCCTATGTAACTTTAATATTTTTAAATTGCTAAGATATCAAAACACGACATAATATTACCTACCATGTATATACAGAAAATGGTGGTATAAGTATTCAGTGAAAATGTCAAATATCTGCGATTACTTTTTGAATTACAACAGAATATCAAAAAAAAAACTCACCCCCCCCCCCCTAGATACGCCTATGATTACGTCTATATTAGACTACCAGCCTGCTCATCGCTGTTGGACGCTTAAAAGTCATTCTCGGTCTGTTCTCATGGGCAATGGCTATACACTATACAGTACACACGACAATATTCGAGAGAATTTTTTTGAACAGAAATTGCCGTTGCCGCACGACCAGGGGAGGGAGTGTCGTTTTGAATGTTGAAACGTCCCCCCTTCCCATTGGCCGTATGCATGTGCCATACGATTAAGATTTCTACAGCAGAATATGTTGTCGTACATGGTCCTATTTCATATTAAAAAGATTGATGACTTCAATATTTAAACAAAAAATTCACACACCTCACTAAAAATGAATCTTGGCTAAGAGCCTGAGCACAACGGTCCATTTCTATATTGCTTGATAACGGCTATATCTACAGGTATTTCAGTCTGTCAAATTTCGTGTCGATTTCCATTATCGTGCGACGGTATTAAAAATTATAATACAATATTATTGTAAAATTTTAAATATCGTAAACATAATATCACAATCACTTTTTGATTTTTATCATACGCTGCTCTTGTTATTGGTATACAACCCTCCCCCCCCTTCCTACCAAGACTAATAAACTATTCACTCTTCCTTAGGCATTATCATACCCTCGCCCCTCACTGTATATCGAGGCCGATATTTCTTCTATTCCCTATACTTGCCGTTGACGATAACAATCTTTTCGGTCAGGTTAAGGTGAAGTGTACAAAAAAGGTGACTTCAAACTTGTTAAATGTCTTCGGGTCATCTTCTCTACCAAAAGCACTGACTTCTATTGAAATAAAGCAATTTAGCAATAATATGAATTATAAATACCAATGCCATAAAAACCATCAAAACGAACTGTTTATATGATATTGTATTATTTGCATTAGTTTGATTCACTCTTTACTGGGTTTGTTATTCTAATAAGATGCGGCGGGTTGTCTGAAATTCGGCCCTGAGAATCGCCATGTGACAGGCCCACCCAATATATTATAAATTATAATATAATCATTCTCCACAAAACTACAAAAGCCATTTTTTTTTAATGAATTATCTTATTTATAATTTAATATGATATAAGTATTAAGTACCTACATAACATGTGGCCACGTGGGTACGTAACTTTTTTATTGCATTAACACTTACACGAGTTTAAAGTAGGTTGGTTATAACCATAATATATTTTTATTAAGCGTCTGAAAAAAAGTTGGTTATCTAAAGTCGCAAATGAAAAAAAAGAGGGTATGTGGATGTCTCTCTGCTGTACATTAAGTGTCTAGAAAGTCACTGTAATTGATGATATTACATTTGAATTCAATGATATATTATCATTGTACACGAAAAACGATTCTGAGTGGAGACGGTATGTCAGTACCTATTGGATATTTTAAATTGTAAAACTTATTTATTATTAATACGGTATCCGGTAAGTTTAATTAATATTATTCTTCAATTATCATTGATGCTGGAAAAATATAAAGGGGTATTTAAAATTGGGCTGTTTTGGAATCGAATTACAACAAAATTACTAAAATCGTTACTCTTTGTGAATACGTGTTAATATAATAATATGCATAATTTGAACTTAAAATACCCAACTATAAAAAAAAGCTATGTGTATGTGTTTATTCTTAGATTTTTAATTACAGAATTAACTACTTACGTAGAACTTTGTTTTAAATTTGCAATCCTTATCTGGTTAGCTGTAAAAGTTGAACATTTAATACATTTTAAACTACAAAATCATTTTTCAATTTCAGTAATTTGACAAATGTCGTCAAAATTTGAACTTTAAATGCTCATAACAATTTAATTTAACTTTCCGGTATACTTTTTTGATAAAGGTAGACAAACTTTTAAGTAATTTTGTATTATATTTTTAGATCTTAGATACGTATTAAGAGAAAAATTTTATGAACTTCTTAGTTCTTACTTTTTCGTTAATTTTAAGTATTTTGTTGAAATTTTTAATTGTCGTTTTTCCTTAATGTTTTGTTTGTGTTTCCTGTTGCTTTTGAAAACTATTGGGAATTTTAAATTTTGACCTCCCGGTCCCCGGATGCACCAACTAGATTCACTTTCCTACCAGAGACGCTGTTATTTAAGAAAATTGAAGCACTTTTACTGCAAGAAACCGTGATGACAGACCCAAAAATAAAAAAAACACTTGTTAAATCAATACATCCATCGCTCTGCTCAGAATCTAAGAGGGTTGGTAAGTGGGTACCAATCCGCAGTTCATTAGGTGCATATGTGGGTCACTGCTACTATGGATCTTGGAGTATTTAGGACGGGGTCTCTAAGGTATGTCCAAATTGAAGGGCCACAGGATCTTTATCATTACATTAAAACAATTTACTGAGGGGGCGTTAATTATCTTGTATATTACCGAATTCTATATGAAATTGTTTTTTCAAATGGGTGGCTATAGCTATACAAATAATTGGAAGCAGTAATTGCAGCACAGCTATTCTAAGAATATTATTTCTAAGGCAGCCACTATCATGCACGTTTCGCAGTATTTATAACCTATTGATGAAAATATTGTAATGTGTACTTCATACGTCGTCATCTCCTTAAAATCTTTATGATTATTATTTTTTTTTTATTGTAAGAAAAAAAAAGACCTTAGGCTACTTAGGCCACTGGGCTTACAATTTATAACTGTTATTATAGTTATTAGAATTTAGAATCAAAGTAAACGATTCAATTTTTACCGTGTTCCTCCTATAGCTTAATTTTTTTTTCGCTAATTAGTGTGATTACGATATTATTAAAAATTAAATCCCAGAAATAAAATATTGTGTTTCCTATATCCAACATGTTCCCGATTTATATTAAGGTCCCATAGCCTTATGGGCACAATAATAATGGACAGCGGCCTCAGTGGCGAATTTAACAGCAAATATGTGTGAAATAGCAAATAATAATATGAATATTGGTCGTTGGCGGACTGGACGTTTGGACTCTTGCCCTGCAATCAAAAATCGATTGGATCTAATAATTCCAGGAATGTGTGTCATGAATGCATAGACTTTGGTAATTACTAGAAACTACAACTCAAACCCGCATATTGAAAATCTGTTTGTGTTTATTTTCAGTGCATATAATAACATCGTTTATGATTGTAAATATTGGGATTCCACATTTCCACCTAAAAGTCCGGCGAACAAAAGTCCGGTTTATTTATTATAATATACAGTTATTTATAAGTTAATTATATGTTTATGTACATAATATTATACTTTTTTTGATAAAGTAAAAAAAGATGTAGGATGTATGATAATTCATTTCATTTTTAAGTTTGATGGATCATATTTCAACTCCTTTAGTCGCATCCAGTGCATTGGAATTTAATTTATAATTATACTGGTAATATAATATTGGTCATTATATTGACGTACCATTTGTAATATATATAATCGTTTGTTGACCACTTTATTAAGTTAGGCCACCGTCACCCAATACTATTCAGTATTAGCCATTATGGGAGTCTATATTATATTATTACCTTTATGCTATAGATGATCGCTTTAAATGGTAAGTCATAATCATAAATAACAAATGTATTACACCTTATCTTTACTTATTTTTTAATCTAAAAGCGAATTACCTTGGATTAGTTGGTTATTTTACTAAATGCTCAGTCGATATTTTGTATCGTAAACGCTGGAACCGTACATTTTGTGAAATTCAAATTTTTTATTAGTGTTTTTCAATCCAAATTTTGTGAAAATGAGTGAAATATTTAAATTAAAAACAAAAGGTGATAGTATAAATAAAATAGTGTACGGGAGTTCTCGTATACAATAAACATAAACACAGGAATAATTTAAGATGGTAATGTAGCATGAAAATTAAATGCAAGTGTGATGTGGTATTATGTACATCAAAAGACATTTCTAATCCAAAATTAATAAAAGAAGATTTGAAAATTGAAGGTTAATATTTCGCATATTTTTAAACTATTTATAGTCATCTGAAATTTTCATTTTTTCTTATAAATGTTGATTTTTCGGGTAAAAATATTAGTGATATTATATAATTTGTATTTAAGGCGATTGGTAATTGTATGGAGAAAAATATTTTTTATTATCCGAGAACATGGATTTAAACCACGAACGAGTTATAATTTTCGCTGTGGATGAAGGACTCCTTGTTTTAACAAAGGCAAGTACTTGGTTTTGTGACGGAAATTTTAATCTCAGTCCTAAGCATTTTACGTAATAATATTATGTTATACGAGTCCCAAAAAATGATTTTTTTATTGCTGCTGTATATTGTTTATTAGAAAGTAAGACAACTTCAATTTATAAAACAATGTTTAAAACAATAACTGAAAAATGTTTTGAAAAACAACAAAACTTGTTTCCCTACCCCAGGTTTTTACTTGTCGATTTTTAAAAAGCAGTAATTACA